CTTCTCTTCCCCTGTGGGACCCTCAAACGCGAGACTCTGCCGAAAATGCTGAAGGACCATGGTAAGGGAGCACACTGGCCCCTGGGCACCAGGCCCTTCCCAGTGACCCAGTGGTCAGCTACAGTGTCCACACAGGTGGGCAGGCCTGGCCAGGGTCGACCCAAGGCCAGGCCTGTGGATGTGCCCCTCAGCCTGTCTGCCCTGGCTACAGTAGCAGGTGACCTGGGCAAACCAGCCAGATGAGGGTCATGCACAGGTGACCCTCTGGCTGTGCACGCCACATGCAGAAGTCTGATGTTGTCACAGTGTGTGGAGTCAGCTCAGACAAACGTGCTGCCCCCAGCCCGCCCCTCCAGGCACCCTATACCTGCCCACTGTGCCGTGTGAACACGAGGCGAAAACAGCAGCCAACACAGGACCCTGTGGCCTTAAAGGGCTCCGCGTTCACATCACAGTCAGCATGCTGGTTTTTCAGATGAAGTAGGGACCGGTCAACAGCAGTCACCGCTCTTGAGGGACCCCCTTGCTGACCCTGCTCCATTTGCTGAAGCCCAGGCCACCCTGTCTTCTGCAAGCCGCTGTTCTGACCGCCTGAGTCAGTCCAAAGACAGGGGTGTCTGTGCCCAGAAATGCCCAGAGCCACTGAGCAGGGCAGGGAGGAACAAGGCAGGAGGGGGTCCCTTTAGACAGGTGGGTCTCCTGCAGCCACAAGGCCAGCTTCTCTGGCAGTGGTCCTGTAGGGCCTCCCCTTAGGAGCTCCCCAGGCTTGTGGACCTGGAGCTGGATGCCCCTACTGGCCCCTGGCTCCTACCTCGCTGCCTGCTTCCGTCTCAGCTTAAAACCTTCCCTGGGGCCTCGGCGCCACCCTCGCCTTGGCACAGCAACCCCAGAGCAGGAACAAAGAGCCCCCCTCCACCCCTCAGCTTCTCCTGGGACTGGACAGGCTGCGGCAGGGTGGGGATGCATCCACCGACCGTGCTCAGAGGTAGAAGTGTCCCTTGTGTCCCCAAGGCAGTAACGTCTGTTTCCCCTTTCCACTGTGCCCAGGGGTCCCCCTGGAGAGTGTCACCGTCTACCGAACGATCCCTCACCCAGGGATCAAGGGCAGCCTGAGGAGCTACTTCTCCAAGCAGGTAGGTCGGGCCCCCAGGGCATTGCATGGTGGGGGGACACTCAGGGGCAGGCAGCTTGTGTTCCTGAGCCCTGCGTGGGGTAGGTACTGTGGGATGGTGACCACAAGCCACGTAGGTGGGCATCAGTGGGGCCGGCCAGATGCCCACTGTGTGGCTTTGAGGACACACGACCATTCCTAGGACGGTTCAGCAGGCCCGTGTGGCGGGTGTGACAATCTTTTCATTCACGAGGATTACAGCCTCGGAAAGCCCAGAGCCAGTTGTGGACACGAGTCAGAATCTACTCATGGGCAGGAGGTTTGGGGTCCACACAGGGTGCTAAGCATAGTCAGCCTGCGGCTGCCATTGCCTTGGTGGGGCGTTGCAGGAGCTGGAGGGACCAGCCTTAGGGGTAACGGGGCACACGGGGTGAGGCCGCAGTGCTCAACCGGGAGTCGGACTCTGGATTGGGGAGATAAGTGGCTCTTGGGGGAAGGGACCGACGTCTCAGCACTGCGCTTCGGCCCCTGCCTCGGGCGGGTGCCCTGTGCTGATGGCAGAGGGTGCTCACTTCCTCTCTGCAGGGCATCCCCGCCAGCATCGCCTTCTTCAGCCCCTCGGGCCTGACGTACAGCCTCCAGCACATCCAGGAGCTATCTGGGGACAGCATTGAGCAAATCAAGGTGAGCCTAGGGTGTCCAGGTGACATCAAAGCACCAGGCCTAGCCCATGGAGAGGGAAGCCCTCAGGGCGGCCCACTTCTCAAGGCTACTGTAGGCCAGTGCCAGGCCCAGTGTGCAGAAAATGGCCTGGCTGCCCTGCCATCCCGAGCTCCTTTCAGCCTGGCCTCTGCCTGGGACCCTTCCCAGAGTAGGACTGCCTGCAGCCAACCTCCACCCAGAGGGTGCCCACTGCTGGCCCCCCAGGTCCCTCCCTCCATAGTGCAGCCGCTGAGGATGGTAACCCTAAGCCCAAGCCCGCTGCCCCCAGGTGACTCCAACTCACAGCGGCCCTCGTGTCACAGAGCCGCTGTGGCCTCTCAGAAACAGAGCCAGCAGTGGTGTCCAGCTGCCTCCGCCTGGGGCTCCCTGGATGTAGCAGAGTAGGGCTGTGCCTCCTCCGAGTAGAGGGTTTGTTTAATTGCACGGATTTGGTTTGGAGAACGTTCACCAACTCCTTCACACAGGCCATTCTTCAAGTCGTGAGCCCATTCTCCACGCCCCCACCAGCACAAACCCGCCGCCCCCGGGAGCCCCAGGGGGACTTTTGGTTTGAGAGTTCAAAATTGTCCCAGGGCCATTGTTCAGGGCTTCTTCCCGGCTTCATCCAGCCTCCGTGGTTCCAGAAAGTCTGTGAGATTTTAACCTTCTGTTCTGCAGTTCCCTCGTTTGACCAGGATTCTTCTATAGACTGACTCCATAGGTAGGGTTTTCTGGGCTGTGGCCTCTAAGAGGCAAACTCCAGGTCTCCTTGGGATGCCTATTGATGAGCAGTTCGCTGGCCCTCAGTGGGCAGTGTAAGCAGGTTTTCGGACAACGCGAGGCCCAGTCCAAGATAGGCGGTGCAGCCACGGTGGGAGCACAGGTTGGGACATGAGGAAGTACCAGCAGGAATGGGCAGTGTGGCCCGTGGCCCGCACTCCCCACACCCTGTGTACGCACTGAGACCCGTCCTCTCCTCTCCCTGCAGTTTGCAGCCATTGGCCCAACCACAGCGCACGCATTGGCCACCCAAGGCCTGCCCACGAGCTGCATGGCCGAGAGCCCCACACCAGGAGCCCTGGCTAAGGGCATCCAGAGGGTGCTCCAGCCCCCCGACTGCTGCTGACCAGCCGCCGCTCCCTCGGATGGGGTGAATGACTGGTGTCTGCCTGCGTCCTGAGTGGGGTCCTAGGGACAGGGATCCGGGATAGGACCTGGACCGGCAGCTGGCCTTCACGCACATGATGCCCCACCACAGGGGACCCCCGGGAACCAGAAACTCAAAGCAAACCTGCTCATGTGGGGTCCCTGTAGGAAGGACAGGCAGACTGCCCTGCCCCCCTGGGTTTCTGAAGCTGTAAATCTTTACAGAGGTGGACTGCCTCCTCTTTCTCCCTCGGAGCAGCTGGTGGGTTTGAACTGCCGACTTCCCTGTCAGCATCCCCCCAATAAACCCACAGGAATGTGCACAGGTCTGAGGCTGTGCCCTGCTGTGTGTGGCACTGTGCGGGGGCAGACAGGTACCCAAACCAGGCAGGTGACAGACCTAGTGTGCTACTGCCACTTCCCGAGAGAGCGCGGTTCTCGCCATCCCAGAAGACGACCCTGGGCGTGTGCTTCGCTGGGGGTGGGGGTGGGGGGAGGTTGTAATTCACATTGAGAGGCCGAGCCTGGAAGGGTGTTTCTCTTGGAGAACAGTGCCTGCAGCACCGATGACCTCTGAGGCGCTCTGGCCCAGGGGAGGACAGGCAGCACCTGTTCCCATCATTCAGGAGGTCAAATTGCACAGTGGGGGAGGGGCTGAGCCTCGGTGGAGGGGGCTACGCGCTGCTTGTTCCAACCTCAGGGTGGCATTCTGCCCAGGAGCCAGGACATGCCCTCTGGCACCCAACCTCTCCTGAACACAGGCAGCTCCGTTCCATAGGCCCCCATCTCGGCGGAGTCGAGAGCACCTTGCATAGATGGGAGCAGCATCCCAAGAGGCCCTGGGCAGAGCTCGGTCCACAGTTCACCCAGAGTCCCACGTGTTGCCTTCAAAACCCAGAGGAGCCGAGCTGAGCTGTCTGGGCCATTAGACACGCAGACCCGGGGCCGGCGGTGACCAGAGCTCTTGTCCGGCCTAAGCACCGCCTCTGTGAACTGGCCAGGTGCTATGTGAGGCTGCCCAGACCCTGCGGGAGCACGACCTGCAAGTGACCGAGCCCGGCTCTGCTGTGGACGTGAGGCTTTGAGGGGCTCTTCGACTTGTGAGAATGGGTGACCGAGTCATCAGGGAACGATGCCAGTAGGAAGGCTGGGAGGAGCTCTGGTGACGTGGTTACACATTGGACGGCTAACTGCAAGCTCAGCAGTTTGAAACCACCAGCCGCTGCT